GACAGAGAGACAGGAAGAGAAGAGAGAAGAAGAGAGAGAGAGAGAGAGGAGAGAGAGACAGAGAGACAGAGAGACAGAGAGACAGAGACAGAGAGACAGAGACAGAGCAGAGACAGAGACAGAGACAGAGACAGAGACAGAGACAGAGACAGAGACAGAGACAGAGACAGAGACAGAGACAGAGACAGAGAGAGAGAGAGAGAGAGAGAGAGAGAGAGAGAGAGAGAGAGAGAGAGAGAGAGAGAGAGAGAGAGAGAGAGACCGAAAGACTGACAGACCGACAGGCAGTCCTTACCGTCTTTGGCTTTTCTTTCGACCTCTGCTTGCGGCAACGCAGCTTTCATTGCACTCATGACGTCGTCCTGAAACGGAAAGAAAAGACAAAGAGATCTGATGAAATTTCAAACCGAATATATATTATGAGCTGTGGCAAACAATGAAATGTTGTTTATTAACCCGCGCCCCGTAGGGGGGGGCCGAAACGGCCCCCCCCCCTGTCCTTTTCGGTCGATATCTCCTAAACCGCTTCAGATATCGCCACCAAACTTTCAGGACCCCTCCGGGCATCAATTTTACACATTGTGACCAAAAATTTTTCCAGAGGCTATGATAGGTTGGCCACAAATGACGTCAGAATGACGTCATGTTCTGTCATTTTCGACCGAAAAAAGACCTTCGCGAGAAGACCTGTCAGGCCTACAGCTTTGAAGATACAGAAAAATGATCAAGACATAAAAGGTGTAGAATTGACAGGGCTACAAAACTTCTATCTCGGATTTTTGAAATTTTTGAGTTTTGAACCCCAAAAATCAAAAAAACATTTTTTTGGGATATATTAGCCAAAAAATCCAAAAAGTTTTTTGAGTTTCAAAAAAACCGGAATATATGTGATAGTACCTACCGTCTTCTATCTACATACAAAATTTCAGATCGATACCTCGTTTTTTGGCCAAGTTATAGCGAAAAAACTGTTCAAAATTGATGACGTCAAATTTTCAAACTCAATTTTTGGCAGTTCTAGACCTCGTAGAGCAAAACAAAGACCACCATTAGACTCCCCGTGACGAGCTGCATCGAATCGATACCCATTTTATGCAAAAATATCAACTTTGAAATTTGACCTTATTTGACCTGACCTTGACCTGACCTTCACCAAAACGTGACCTAGGCTGGCCCCAAAGGCTGCCTAACCCACATAATCGCATTTGTCATGTAAAATGGACCATAAAACATGTATCACACGACACTTTCATATTGTGACCCCGGTGACCTGACCTCGCTGTGACCTGACCTGGTATCAGTGACCTCAGATAGCAAAGTATTTGTTTGACGAACAATGTACCATCGATGGTTTTCAATAAATTACCAATTAACTCGATTTCACAACACATTTCTTGAAATGCCTGTGAACGGTGAAAATCTGACCTTTGACCTGACCTGTGACGTCATCGGTTTGACCAAGGTCAATGAAATTTGGTCACAAGGTAGTTCCCGGGTGGGGCTATCGAACGCCGTTTGAATTTTGAAAATCGCCCGGTAACTTTCCGAGATCTTAGGGGGGGGGGCGAAACGGCCCCCCCCCCCTACGGGTGGTAGGGTCCGCCGGTAGCCCTACGGGGCGCGGGTTAAGGGGAAAACAAAAACGTATTTGACCTTGAGTAGGGTGACTAGCATAATGACACACGCCCATCTTTGACATTTTATGGGAGTTATGCGATGAGACCTCAGAGCCTATTCGCGGTCCCTATAAATTATGAATATATGGTAATATTGGAGAAATTTAAGGGATCCAAAACGTCAAAACAATCGATACACTGGTATTCAGCAAAATCAATCGCCAAGTATATGAAAAAGAATCCATAAGGCAGTAACGTTTCCATGCCCAGAATAGACCAATACAAAGCTCTCCAACAACATTTGACCCAATCTAATAACCAACTGATCTAAGATACAGATAGACAACACACTGCAGGCCGGTCTGACAATTAACCCAGCGGGCGGTGGGTCACCTTCGATGTTGAAAATAGAAGTACGAAGATGCTACTCACCAGCGGCGTATTTAGAAAATCGCGAAGGGGGGGGCCAAGGGTTTGGAGGGCGCCACCTCACCCAAGGAGGGCGCCATACGGTCGCGAGATAAAAAAATCGCTCAGCGGGGTGGGGGGGGGGGGATTGGGAGGCGTTTTTTACCATGCCACCAGTTTTTTTGCGTAACCTCGTATAGGTCGTGCTGCATTGATTTTGCATCGTGTGTATTCTTTATACTCCAGGTCACAAAAGGTCAGGTGTTCTTGAAATGCTACGCCGAAGGCGCGCGAAATTTTTGAAAACAACCTTTTCCTCCGCTTTTTAGGCACGCCTTTTATACGATCACCGTTCAAAGCTCCTCTCGCTCTTTTACCAAATTTGAAGGTGTAAAAAATACCTAAGGTTTGGTCGGGCCGCTGCCACACAAACTGTATAGAAAGCTTGGCTCATGGGTGTCGATGTATAAAAGTTTATTGGTGGTGGCATATCTACGCACCAGATCACCGTATCGGATTGATACCGGAGCGCGAGATGCGTAAACATCATCCAAATTACCTCAGACCAGCCTTCATAGCCTTCTCACAGATGCATACAGTGTACCCACATAACCAGTTTCAATCACCGAAACTTCAGATGCCTGCTGTTGCGGCCGAACCTGTTGACAATACTTAATCGTAATCCATATAGATGCCATGATGCACGTAAAGTAGGATCAATCCGTTAAGACCAAAGACGTGTTTTATGCATCGTAGAGCGTAGATAGTTTTGGTAGGTATAGGTACTTCATTCATTGTGCTGAATGCACGTTCATTTGTGGCAGTTTTCACAGGCAAGACATCAACTATGTGCAATAGAACGACTAAGTTGAAAAACATGCCAAAGGAGTAAATAAATGATAAGAGGGCAGCGATCAACGGATGTTGCCAATAGGTAGAAGGGCTGCGATCCACAGGAGGGCGCTAATAGGTAGGAGAGCCCCGATCAACATCCCGAGTTTCGATAGTAGGGCACCGATAGGTAGGAAGTTGGCGAGCAGCAGGAGGGCGCCAATGGATAGAAGGGCAGCGATCAACAGGAGGGCACCAATAGGTAGGAGGGCCCCGATCAACAATCAACAGGAGGGCGCCACCAGGTAAGAGGGTGGCGAGGAACAGGAGAGCACCAATAGGAGGGTGGCGATCAACAAGAGGTCGCCAATAGGTGGGAGGGCGGTCATCAACTGGAAGTCGTTAATGAGCGGAAGGGTGACGATTAAAATGGGGGTGGCAATAGTGAGGAGGGCGCCTTTGCTCAAGAGGATGACACGAACAGGAGGGCGTCTGTGCGGAGGGCGCTGGTCAACAGGCAGGTACCAGTGGATAGGAGGGCGGTGATCAACAGGAGGGTGCCAGTGGTTAGGAGGGCGGCGATCAACACGAGGGCGCCAATAAGAGAAGGGCCCCGATTAACATTCAACAGGAAGGACTAGAGAACCAATAGGTAGGAGGGCGGCACTGAACAATAGGGTGCCAAAAAGGAGAAAGGCGGCCTTGAAAATTTCACATGAGGGGGCAATAGGTAGGAGAGCGCCAATAATTATGAGGACGCCGATCAGCAGAAGGGCGGCAATATGTAGCAGGGTGGCGACCTACAGGAGGGCGCCTTCGGGTGAGAGGGCGCTTATTTACGGGACAGCGGCTTACATAGGCGACCACCGTTACGCTTAGAGAGCTACAGCCTACAAATGTGGTTGGAGGGCGCCCGAGGGAGCCCTCCAACCGTATTTGGAGGGCGTATTTGGAATGGGCGTCCTCCGAGGGCGCCCTCCATCCGTATTTTCCCTGTAAACACATTCGCGATTGGAGGGCGCCCTCCAGTCGCGATTGTTTTTCGATTCGATTATATCACAATTGCATTTGCGATTGGAGGGCGCCTTCGGCGCCCTCCAATCGCAAAGGGCGCCTTCGGCGCCCAAGGGGGGGGCCATGGCCCAGTGGCCCCCCCCCTGCCTACGCCGCTACTCACCTTTGTCGCATTTTTCAATAGCAGCAGCACTCGGTCCGACTCGAAGGCTGGTGTCCACAAATCAGCACCTGGAAAATAACGAAAAGATAACCTTCAGCTATGGAGCATTTGAAGGAAATGGTTCACTTTCAGTATAACATTTGGTCAATGAAAGTTAACTAAAATGTTTTGAATGTAAAAAATAACATTTCAAGACAATTTTGAGCAGGAATTGCGCAAATATATAACCACGTTTCCTAGTTCCTTCGTTGCCTTCCTATAAATCGTTTTAAGTTCGACCCTCACTGTAAACATCTTTTCGAGCACAGTACGGGAATTGCTTGCTAAACTACTGAGAAAACTGGCTAGCGCAAATTGTATTGGAGATATAAATAATAATTTCAAAATAAGTTTTGGACAACGATAATGTACAGTTATGTTAAACGCAGTGCGATTTATTAATTAGTTAAGTTGTAATTCCTGGCAAGTCGTCTGTCCCTTTGCGGTTGTAGTTACAGACAAATACAGCTGCGAGTCTGGGAAATAGCAGCCAAGTATTAATAATTTTGATAAAATTGACTGTCTGTGAAATCAATGTGCGTCAACCAGTTTTCTCACTAATTCAGCTATAAATTGCTTTTTTAAAAGGTGTTTAGCTCCAAGTGCATTATCGAAGCTCTCGCGTGAGTTTTGGCAACTCGGCCATTATTATATTGGCGAAAGCAGACACGTCAATGGCACAAACATCGTCATTATCATAGATATCTCATAAACAAAGATTACACAGCTAGACAACATATAACTACACAACGTCCGCGTCACCACATTTGTCGCCACACACATCAGAGCGACTCTGAGAGGGCCTTATTCTTGCGGCTTCTCTGCCACATTTCGGTCAGAAGGACAGCGTATGCCGCAAGTGGATTAGGGCGCGGAGGATGGGGCGCGTGGTGGGGTGTGGTGGGTTGGGATGGGATGGGAGAAATGGATAGAAGCTCTGCGGCGAAATCTTGTGACGTTGGCGCTTATGTGTCCATAGGCGGGGGAGGGGCGCGCGGCTGCAGGTAGCGAGCTAGCTCGGGGGACGGCGAGACGGCCCAACGCTACGTCCTGACGGCGTTCGACTTCTCCCGAGCCTATGACACGGTGGATCATCGGCTACTCCGCATCCGACTGGTGCAACAAGGCATACCACTCTGCCTCATCACCTGGATCTGGAGCTTCCTCTGCGACCGCCGAGCTCACACAGAAGTTAATGGCACCAAGAGCCGCGAGCGAATCTTCAGAGCAGGTCTGCCACAGGGAACCGTGCTGGCGCCGACCCTGTTCCTGTTATGGGCGGCGCCGTCTGGCAGACGCCCTGAAGAAGATCCCAGGCACGACGCCGTTCATGTACGCTGACGACACGGCGGCGCTGTACTCTGGCAACACCATTCTGGTCGCACGGCGGAGAGCCCAGCAAGCGGCTGATGTTCTGGTGCAGTGGGCCCTCGCCTCGAAAATGAGGGTGGCGAGCGAAAAAAAAAACAGGTGCTGGTCCTCTCTCAAGCCCCCAAGGACGCAGTCGACTGCTACACCATAGGTAGCAGGGGAGACCGTGGCCGCGGGCGCCCAGCTGAAACTCCTTGGAGTTACGCTAGACCGCACCCTCCACTTCGGGGCGCACTGCAGAAATCTGCGACAGAAGACTCGCCCCCGGATAGCCCAGCTCGAGAGGCTAACTGGGCGTGACTGGGGCCTACGAGAACAACAACTTCGAGCGGTGGCCAACGGATATGTCAGGGGCCCCCAAGAGCATGCTGCTGCGGCCTGGCTGCCTGCCACGCCCGCTTCCCACGTCGAGATCCTCGAACGTGAAGTGTGGGCGGCCGCGCGCGTGATCACGGGCTGCCCCGTCTCAACACGGACCCACGCGCTGCTGGCGGAGGCCGGTATGCCCCCGATCTCGGCGCGGCGTCTCTCGCTGGCGGCCCGCTTCCTGGCCAAGGCGAGAGCCCTGCCGCGCGAGGACCCGCTCCGCACCGTCGCCGACGAGGTGGTGCCGGCGCGGCTGTCCTCCGTCACTGGTTGGAGACAGGTGGGCACGGAGGTTTGGGAGGCGGCTGACGTGTCGTCGCCGATCGAGCCCATCCTCCCTAGCCGGCAACCCCCATGGGTGACCGCGAACGGCGTGACCTTCCGCCTGAACGTCGGGCCCGGCCTCCCGCCGAGAGCAGCATCTGCCCAGACGAAGCTGGAGGTAGCCAGAGCCACTCTTCACCTGCGCAGCCTCCCACAATGCGCCACGTGGGTATGGACGGACGGCGCGGCCGACGGGGGAGTCGCCAGCGGAGGTGCTGGAGCTCTGCTCGAGCTGCCGGACGGCGAGACCCGGGAGCTACGGGTCGCTGCCGGCAAACTCTGCTCGAGCTACAGGGCGGAGCTCGTTGCCCTCAACGCGGCACTCGAGTACCTGCGACAGCACCCGGCGCACACAGAGGATCCAGTGGTGGTCTGCACAGACTCTCAAGCGGCTCTCCGAAGGCTGCAGGAGGGACCGTCTGCGCAGTCATCGCCCCTCGCAACTGCGATCTGGGACAGCCTGCTGGAGCTGTCGTCGAGCGGTCGCCAGGTCCTCCTACAGTGGATACCGTCCCACTGCGGAATCCCGGGGAATGAGCGCGCGGACCAACTCGCCAAAGACGCCTCAACTCTCCCCCAAGAGGACGCCCCTGTTGACGTGACCACGGTCTACCGAGCTGCGGCGAGACTCGCGCGTGCCCGTACCGCCGCCGGTTCGTGGATCCAACAGGCTGGACGCAGTGGACACCCACCAACTACGAGCAGGACACTGGTCCGGGTCAGCCCAGTACCTGCACAGAATCGGGCGGCACCCATCGCCGGAGTGCGCCCAGTGCAGTGATCGGGGATGCCGGGCAGGATGGTGCCGCGCCTGCGGCGAAGAGCCCGACAACTCGGACCATGTCCTTTTGCGGTGCCCGGCGCTGATGAACGCCCGGCTCCGCATCTTCGGCACCATCTTCTCGAGCCTGAGCGACGTGCGACGGGACGACGCGTTGGCGGCCCTGGCGAGGGTCGCCAGGTACCTTCAGAGCCGTTAGGCTACAGCTCGCCAGAGCCTGGAGGGACAACACAACAACACAACAGCTAGCTCGGGGTCATCTAGTGGGTTTCGGCTCGGCTCCTGGCTGCGGTGTTGTGTTGGCGGCTCTGTTTGGCTCCCACGCGCCGTCCCTGCTTCTGCTGCTGCGAAGTATGTCACATCTCCCGCCACTGCTGTTGCTGCAGCCATCACTGTTCTGGCTGCCACTTCCGCCTTTGCCGTCGCCGTCGCTGCACTTGCTGATGCGGCCAACGTCGCAGTTCCTGCCACTGCTGTTGGTGCTGTTGTTGCAGCCGTTGCTGTTGCTGGAAATGATGACTCTGGGCTCAGGTCTGTCGGAGGCACTGGCGAGTCGGACGGCCGTGGCGTTTCCGCGTACCACCGCCACCGATCTGCGCTGAAAGAGATGTTCAATGTCGCGTCGGTCTCCAGTTGTCTGCACGATGCGCCGGCCGAGCTCCTTGAGAAAGGCACAGCTATCAGGGCCCAGTGCGCCAGATGTTTCCACGGCGACTGGCCGGAACAAGTAGCGCCGGCTGATGTCCTCATAGCGCCGGCGTTTGCGTCCCTCGGCAGCGGTCGCAGCTGTGCTCGCCCGGGATGCTGACATGCCGACTGATGTGGCGCAGAATGTGTCGACACAGGTGGCGTCCCAGACGAGACACTTCCCTTCTGCATAGGGAAAAGAATTTTGGCAACTTCAGCGTCTGGCTAAGAATTTTTTATCGTAAAAATGATCGATTTCAAATTGTGCTCGGTAAATACATAGAAATTGTGTGTTAAAAAATGAGCATACTATGATGACGTCACTGGTGGTAGCTGGCACCCAATGTCCGTACGAAAGCATTAATTGCCAACCAATTTGGGGAAAACTTCGTTTTTCACTGTTACCGAGCCCAAATCGAGTAAGCGGTTCTTTCCATGATAGTTATACATTACATTGCAATGCAAGTTCCACAACATGACGTGACCACTGTTCTCATGTCTAGTTCCAAAACGTACGTATGGAATTTATCGGGAATAATTCACATGTTAAAATAAGGCGACGAGGCGACGTTCAGGTTTCTCAGGGTCAGATTTTGCCCGTTTCGCTGGCTAACACGCGTGCTTAGTTAAAAAGCATACTAGGAGCCAAACACCTTTAATTGAAAAAGAAAAACAAACTATAGCAATTCCCGTGCTGTGTTCAAAAAGACGTTGACAGTGAGGGTCGAAAAAACGAATTATAACACCCAACTTTTATTTGAATGAAAATCAGATCATGAAGCCGTGGATGAAAACTAACTGTCGAGTTTCCACTCTTATTCAACGACAAAGACTTTCTGTTATCGATCGAGTCCGAGAGGAGACGTGGTCCGTGACCATCCTAGCTGTGTCCAGTACAAAACTCCATGATTTTCGGCAGAGGGGAATGGGGGGGGGGGGAGCTCGTATGGTTTTTGAGTTCGTTCCGTCAACTACAGGGTGAATATATAGGACAATAGTATTCCGTAGATGCTCTGTCAAAGGCAAGGCATATCATCATACGCCAGCTCAGTCGTGAAAGAAAGTGGCATTGGGCAGCCGGCAACCGAGACCAGCGTGGGCACTCGCTATGGTTGGTGCTCGCAAAGGTTGGTGGCGTGTTATCAGGGGCAGGTGTGTGTGTGCGTGGGTTGGGTTGAGGTGAGGAGTCTCAGAGGTTGGCTAAAAGTTCTCTGAGGCCATCTTGGGGTCCTCAGAGAACGGGTAAGAATCACTATTCAGAATGAGTTGGTTCAGACAAAGTCTGGACGATGGTTGGATGCGTTATCTATATTATAATTAAATCTTTGTTCCAGGTTACTAAATAAGGTGAACCCTTGACTCAGCTGAACCTGAATAACTAATCGCTACTTTGTTTTGCAAAAGTTTTTATTTTTTGTTCTTAATGGTAAAAATGCCAAAGGGTAAAAAATAAGTGGCCTAAAAACGGCGAGAAAACTAGATTTCGCGGTACCCTGGGTCGATCCCTATTATGGACGACACCGGGAAATACCAAATGTGCCCCCCCCCCCCCCCCCAGCCAGAAAATAGTTCCCGTGCCACTGAACGTATCTGCGTAAGATTATGCATGCATGATACGCTGCATACAGCATTTTATTCGAATCACATTAAAATTGCATCGCTAAAACTTGCGTAAAATAATTCAACTTCTTTAAGATACACATAGGAAGCCCTGCAATTACACAACATCATCATTTTGTAGAGTTTGACTTTTAACGTGACCAACGTAACAAACACATTCACAATAAACAATGGAATGAAGAATGCAGGAAAGATGTTTACCTTGCGGTTCAATTCCCTCGTCAGTGGAAGGAACATCAGGAGGAGGACCTTGAGAGTGAGGCTCCAGGAAACACGGCACCTAGAAAAAGGGTATAAGGAGCACCGGTTACATGGAGAGCAATCGATCACATCAAGAACTAGAGGGGATAAGGGATAATTTAAAATCATCTGTCGTGAAAATAGGGTACCCTAATCGCATTGAAACTGGTTTGATTAACCCGCGCCCTGGTGGGAGGGGGCGGGGCTATTTTTGCCCCACCCTCCCCCAGCCTTTTCGATATATGTATCTCCAGAACCGCTGCGCCAAGCGTCACTAAACTTTCAGTACCCTCCCGGGCAAATTAACACATTGTGACCAAATTTTTTTTCCAAAGGCTTTGATAGGCTGGCCCAAAAAAGGTTTCGCGGGAAGAGCTGTCAGGACTAGAGCTTTGAAGATACAGAAAACGTTGAGGACATATAATGTGTAGAATTACCAGGAATACAAAACTGCTATCTCGGAATTTCGAATTTTATGAATTTTGACGCCTAAAAATAAAAAAAGAATATATTTCCAAAACTCCAAAAAGTTTGTCGATTTTCGAGAAAAAAACTGGAATAAATGTGATAGCTCTTACAAAATACCATTCATTCAGATCAATACCTCTTTTTTGGTCAAGTTATAGCGAAAAAAACTTCTAATTTGATGACGTCAAATTTTCAAACTCAATTTTCAGCAATTCTAGACCACGTAGCGCAAAACATAGAACACCATTAGACTCGCCGTGACGAGCTGCATCGAAACCATACCCATTTTATGCAGAAATATCAACTTTGAAATTTGACCTTTTTGACCTGACCTCCACCAGGAAGTGACCTAAACCGTTCCTGATGGTCTTATAACCAACACCATTGAGTTTAAAATGACAATTTGGCCACAAAACATGCGTCACAGAGCCCTAGTAAAATTGGGTTCATGTGCTGACCCTTGGTGACCTGACCTGGTACTATCAGTGACCTCTAATAGCAACATATGTACTTGGCAACTGACGCCCTGTCGCTGATTTTCGATAACATGCGTTTCACTCGATGTTAAAGCGCATTTTCTAGAAGACCTGTGACAGGCAAAAACATTTTATATTTGACCTGACCTGTGACGTCATCGGTGACTCCGAGGTCAATGAAATTGAAGTTCCATCGACAAACTTGACAGGGCTTTCGATCGCCGTTTGAATTTTGCGAATCCGTCCAGTAGTTTCGGAGATACGAGGGGTGGACAAAAAATAGCCCCCCACCACCACCACCACCAGGTCGCGTTATAAACCAGACCCCACCAGGGCGCGGGTTAAGCTTTTGCATTTTCCTCGATGACTGGCAAAAAAAAGATATTCCTCATCAAATTCCTCAATTTTGGTAATGCACTTGGGTATTGTTTTCCATAGTGAATACTTACGGCGTCTTGGCCGGCAAAGTCCAGATCAGTTAGCGGCTGCTCCGCGGTGGCGGCACTGCCACCCGGCTGCTGCGCGGCGGCGGCAGAGCTGTGCGGCTGCTCCGCGGTGGCCGCACTGCCACCCGGCTGCTCCGCCAAGGCGGGGGCTGCCGTGCCGCTCGGTACCTGAGATAATGACCATAAACACATTACGATCAAGAATGACAGGCACCGCAGGCAGTGACAGAGAAAACACACGTCAGCGACGCTAATATTGTGATATCAAACCTTTTCGCTTCCTGAAACGTAACACAAAGAAGCGAGCGGCGACAAAAGCTATAAAGCCGCATCTGATATTTTCCGAAATTCTTAACGTAGTTTTCCCTAGTGAATACTTACTGCGACTCGGCCGGCAAAGTCCAGATCAGTTAGCGGCTGCTCCGCGGTGGCCGCACTGCCACCCGGCTGCTCCGCCAAGGCGGGGGCTGCCGTGCCGCCCGGTGCCTGGGAAAATGACATATACACATTACGATCAAAGATGACACGCACCGCGGCGACTGACTTCAGAACCGATGTCGGCAATGCTAATGTTGCACTGCTTAACTCATTTTTGCTTCTTAGAAAGTGCCTCCAATTAGGCGTACGATGATTAAATGCTAAAACGAGAAATTATTCATGCTATCTTTAACCCGGCAGTTGCTGGGGTATTTCGCCACCCACCGTTTGCTGGGGGGGGGGGGGGCGTTAAACGCCCCCAGCCGATAACTCGAGAACCAATAGGCGCAGCGAAAGTTACGCACGAGGCGACAAACGAAAGAACGCGACGAGACGCTTCAGATGAGTACTTTAAAGTTGAATTTTGAGGTCACAGGTCGGTTCAAGGTCAGGTCAAACACTTGAAATCGGGCTTTCAGGAGCATGGACTTCAGGACTTGGCAATGGGCGCCTCTCGTCATAAACTCTGTCAAAACGGTGCACAATCCATCATATAAGGCCAACATGAGTGTCAGGTCCATGTAGGGGTCAGTCAAGCATAGGTCAGGGTTAAGGTCAGGTCAACCGGGTAGGCACATATCCCCGAAAATCAAAACTGATATTCGCAGCCTGTGACACATGTTTTATGGGTAATTTGGGGCGTAGAAAACGATGGTCACATTCATTTTATCATATGTGTTCGTGTGATTCGTGGTCGTTTACTCTGATCCGGCACGGCAGACCAAAGTGTTCGTGTAATCGTCCAGTTCACTAAGGATTGCGTAGCTGATCGTATCGTTTCATTAACCGGAGGACCAAAAGAGTTATTAGATGAATGTCTATTTCTGGATTACTCGTCCCACACTGCACCTCAATCGAATCGTATCGACGCCGGCGCCGTTGCGCCGGCGGAGCCGCGCCGTCGTCGTCGTTTCGCCGCGAACTGCCGAGCCGGCCGGCGGCGGCCGGCCCGGCGCGTTGGGGCCGGTCAGCACACATATGTGCTTCAGCTGACCCCCCAGGCCCTGCAGAGGACCACGTGGACGGCGGCGCTCGGCCGTGCCCGCCGCGCGCTGACGTCGCTGTACGGCACGGTACGTTTTCTCTCGAACAATATGTGTACGTGTTTGGCTCAAAAAGTTCAAATTAAGAAATGCATGTGTCATGGTCGTGAAGTACCTAGTCACGAGAAATTGCCAAGATTCAGTTCAAGATTTTGGAAAATGCGGAACGATAATCAATAATCGAAGATAGCCATTTTATTGTTCATGGTATTGGCAGTCTAATGGCGTTTACAGCATGTCTGTATGCCTATACTGTGATTTTATGATTTTTTGAACATATGCCGTTTTTGGTCGAGAACTCAGAAATCATGACGTCACTAAAACCTCGATATCTCAAAAATTTTCCGACAGATTTTTTTTTGAAACTTTGTCACAATGAACTTCAGTCAATTCCCTACAGGTACCCAACATTTGGCGTGCCTGCGGCGCGCCTTTTTTATGCTATGACCCGGCGAAAAAAAGTGGGGGCGTTTAACGCCCCCCCCCCCCCCCCCCCAGCAACTCGCGGGTTGAAACACTTCGTTACCCTTTTCCTCAAACACTTACGGCGTCTTGGCCGGCAAAGTCCAGATCAGTTAGCGGCTGCTCCGCGGTGGCCGCACTGCCACCCGGCTGCTGCGCGGCGGCGACAGAGCTGTGCGGCTGCTCCGCGGTGGCCGCACTGCCACCCGGCTGCTCCGCCAAGGCGGGGGCTGCCGTGCCGCTCGGTACCTGAGATAATGACCATAAACACATTACGATCAAGAATGACAGGCACCGCAGGCAGTGACAGAGAAAACACACGTCAGCGACGCTAATGTTATGATATCAAACCTTTTCGCTTCCTGAAACGTAACACAAATAAGCGAGCGGCGACAAAAGCTATAAAGCCGCATGTGATATTTTCCGAAATTCTTAACGTAGTTTTCCCTAGTGAATACTTACTGCGACTCGGCCGGCAAAGTCCAGATCAGTTAGCGGCTGCTCCGCGGTGGCCGCACTGCCACCCGGCTGCTGCGCGGCGGCGACAGAGCTGTGCGGCTGCTCCGCCAAGGCGGGGGCTGCCGTGCCGCTCGGTACCTGAGATAATGACCATAAACACATTACGATCAAGAATGACAGGCACCGCAGGCAGTGACAGAGAAAACACACGTCAGCGACGCTAATGTTATGATATTAAACCTTTTCGCTTCCTGAAACGTAACACAAATAAGCGAGCGGCGACAAAAGCTATAAAGCCGCATCTGATATTTTCCGAAATTCTTAACGTAGTTTTCCCTAGTGAATACTTACTGCGACTTGGCCGGCCAAGTTCAGATCAGTTCGCGGCTGCTCCGCGGTGGCCGCACTGCCACCCGGCTGCTCCGCCAAGGCGGGGGCTGCCGTGCCGCCCGGTGCCTGGGAAAATGACATATACACATTACGATCAAAGATGGCACGCACCGCGGCCACTGACTTCAGAACCGATGTCGGCAATGCTAATGTTGCACTGTTTAACTCATTTTTGCTTTTTAGAAAGTGCCTCCAATTAGGCGTACGATGATTAAATGCTAAAACGAGAAACTATTCATGCTATCTTTAAAACACTTTGTTACCCTTTTCCTCAAGCACTTACGGCGACTTGGCCGGCAAAGTCCAGATCAGTTTGCGGCTGCTCCGCGGTGGCGGCACTGCCACCCGGCTGCTGCGCGGCGGCGACAGAGCTGTGCGGCTGCTCCGCGGTGGCCGCACTGCCACCCGGCTGCTCCGCCAAGGCGGGGGCTGCCGTGCCGCTCGGTACCTGAGATAATGACATATACACATTACGATCAAAGATGGCACGCACCGCGGCCACTGACTTCAGAACCGATGTCGGCAATGCTAATGTTGCACTGTTTAACTCATTTTTGCTTTTTAGAAAGTGCCTCCAATTAGGCGTACGATGATTAAATGCTAAAACGAGAAACTATTCATGCTATCTTTAAAACACTTTGTTACCCTTTTCCTCAAGCACTTACGGCGACTTGGCCGGCAAAGTCCAGATCAGTTAGCGGCTGCTCCGCGGTGGCGGCACTGCCACCCGGCTGCTGCGCGGCGGCGACAGAGCTGTGCGGCTGCTCCGCGGCGGCGGCGAAGCTACCAGGTACCTGAGGGAATGACCATAGAAACTCTACGATCAAAGATGTCACGCATCTTGCCAACTGCCTCATTTAGCCAGCTATGCTAATGTGAGAGTTAACTTATTCGCTTCTCTAAACGCATTACGATTAGGCTTGTGATTAGAATAGGTAGAATACCGCATTAAATATATTTCAAAGTAATATAGGTATTGTTCTCCTTTACCTCGACAGGACCGACCCAATCTTAAAATAGGTCTGAGGCCCATCGGAGGGCGTGCCCAACTGGCCCACGCGGTGTCAGAATCCCATTTAGACGGGAGGGTGCCAATGGAATAGGACAAGCCAATCAAACCTCGAATGGGTTTGCCTCTTTCGGGTTCGACCTCCGCCGGTTTCTAGTTGGCGTCACGGTCAGCACGGACAGGGTGGTGTGGACAGGCCCTATGCGGAAGGTACAGCTCTCGCGAGATTAAGCGGTAGGTTTTGCACTTTTACATTTCCGGTTATACCTCAGAAACTAATCGATCTACGATGAAGCCATTTTACACGATCATAGCCGGCTAAGGCTTGTTACCCAACAAGTCGATCGCATCTTCAACACTTAAAAGCTTAAGACTACGAAGATATAGCCTGAAGTACACTAAATTTTCTAGGTGCAAAACCTACCGCCAAAACCCGCGAGACCTGTACATTATGAGCCGAGGTATGCAGGGACGGCGCCACGGATTTCGAAATATCGTCAATACCGGTAATACTATGCAAGCCTTTACATTTGTACCTTAACCTACCATTCCCACGACCGTTGCCTTCTGCACATCAACTTTTGTGTTAAAAGACACATTCTTAAAACCCTCGCCCGTATTGGTGTTTTTCCAGTCACGAACGTATAGGGGGCGGGAGTCCGTTGGCCACCCTTTGCCGTTTCGCCCCTGATCAAGCTAGACTTTCGCAGAAAAAAACGAGCGTGCTGCCCGTGACGAGAGGAAGCCGATGATACCCAGGTCCTTGGTCAGCGGCTAACCTTCCAGGTCAGGTCAATGACCCAAAAGTCGGGAAAATCGGTACATTTTAGAACGTCGTAAAGGGTGGCTGCTATGGTTTTTTCGGGGTGATGATCACGAATATCATGTAAGTTATGATCATAGATGATGTCTCCATGCATTTGAGCCAGGTCGGGTCAGGTCAGGTCAGGTCAGGTCAACCAGTAAAGGTGTTGCCGGGCATTCGTAGTAGGTGGCAACCGCCTCTGACAGCTTCGTAACATGTTACGAAGGCACCAAAATTACTTTGTAAATGTTCAAATGGTTGCTAAATTCGAATTCAGCTCGACATGTTAAACTCGAAAAAGTGAACCGAGGTCATCAAAGGTCAATGGCCTGACCTGACCTTCAGGTGACCTTGACGCCCACCCTAATGCATGGGAGCAACATCACATACCATGTTTGGACGCTTGAAACCACGAAAAGACTGCAAACGCGCGGCTAATGCGAGCCGACATACGCTGAATCGCGATTCCGGCCAAACATTGTCTCAAAGGTAGGTCACAGGTCAAAGGTCATTAGGGACAGGGTCATTAAATATTTAGGATAGGTGTACAATTGATTAACGCGGGGGTGCTGAAAGTTTCGTCGCGATCAGCCGCTCTTTACGCGAGTTATTCGCGAAAAACCGAGGGGGTCGGTTCGACAACAGGCAAGACATTGTTCTTCTGGTAACATGAATAGGTAACCCTTTTTGTTGGAAGCTGTCCTGACCAATCTATCAATCTAGACCAATCTAGCTATCCTGACCAACGAAATCCACGTAAACAACCTGAATCAGCTTGAGCAGCCAAAATTCTGAACAAAAGCGTGTTTTCAATACTCGAGTTTATCATGCCCCACCTCCCGGCTGGAAAGTGACTCGAACGGACAGTGGCTCAAACAGGAGCTCGGCTCGACAGGGCTGGCCCAAAAACACCGGTAACCACGACACAGGAGCGGCGCCTCGGGTAATGCCCATAGGTTGACCTAAAGGCCCTCGCATGAGTGGTATGGGCCCTCTTAAGTATGGTACGGTTGACCCCGAAGGTTGACCGGCGGCCAGGGTTTAGTGCGGCGTATTCGCGGGCGATTTCGATATCATAGAGACCTTATGATGCCTAGTTCGTATGTTCCCCCGAGACTGGATATGGGCCCTCTGAGGTCTCGAAGGGGCATTCGGAGACCTGTTACGCTCCATTAGGCCTAGTATGGACATTCTGAAGCCTGGTTTGGGCCCCTGAGGCCTGGTATGGGCCTTCTGAAGTTCGGTAGATCCTCAGTTTGGCATGGCCATTGGAGCCCGGTAAAGGCCCTTTCTTGACTGGTAGGGACCCTCAGAGGCTTGATATGGGCCTTTTTATACTACCAGGGGGCTTCTGAGGTGTGGTATGGACCCTCTCAGGCATTTAGGACCTTACCAGACCTTTTGATGGCCCTGTCAGCACTGTTATTGGCCCTCTAATGACTGGTATGGGCCCTCTCAGGCATGATACGGGCCCTCCCAGTTCTTGCAAGGGCCCTCTCAGTACTGCTGCAGGCCCTCGCATGAGTGGTATGGGCCCTCTCAGGTATGGTACGGGCCCTCCTAGTCATTGCAACAGTCCTCTCAGTGCTGCTGGGGGCCCTTCCATGATTGCCATTGACTGACATAACCCTCAGTAATATGTCAGGGTACCGGCCCTCACATAACTTGTGGTGGTCCCCTCAGTACTGTTTGGGCCCTGCTGTGGCCCTCTCAGTACTGATATGGGCCCTGTCACGGCTGGTATGGGCCCTCTCAGGCATTTTACAGGCTCTCGCACTCCTTCCAAGGGCCATCTCAGCACCGCTGCGGGCCCTGTCATGACTGTTATGGGCCCTCTCCTTCTCAGGCATAATATGGTGTACCTCCCAGACCTTGCCTGGGCCCTTGCATATATTGAATGGGCCCTCTCAGACGTGGCATGGGCCCTCATTGGCCCGGGTTCTTTCTACAGCCTGGGAAGATAGGACAGGACCACAATCACCCAAGATACAAAATAAATGATTTTCTTTCACTTTTTTGCTAAATTGGGCCCTTTTCCAAAAACATGGGCCAAAGCCCGTAAGTTTTCTCTTGGCGGCGGCACCTTGAGAAGGCCCCCTTTGGCTTGATTCCCCACTTCTGAAGTCATTTCTACAGCTCTGCCCAGAAGTCTTCTTTCTGCACAGCCAGAGAGTATTCCGTCCATACCTGACCTGCTGGCTGAAAGAGGGCCCCAGTGTTCAGAGTTGGGGGGCTGCCCCCCTCCCCCCCCCCCTGTGGCGCCGTCCCTGGAGGTATGGTATATTTGGTAAGTTTACTTACGCTGACATTCCGGCGTTTATATTCGTCCAAAATCAAATTGTTTCTGAGGTTTCTCTCGGGCTCCCAAGTCGAACACCTGAAAAAAACAATTGGCAAGACGTCAATGAAAACCGTCGTACAACCAGTTTCGGGAGACCCGTAAAGCAACTGAAGCCAGCATCGTCTGGCATTAATAGCTACAATTGTCGGCTTATCTTGTACAGGGTGACACAAAAAAAAAAACGGTCATCACCAAATTTCGAATAACTTCGGAAGTTTTATTCAGATCATCACCAAACTTCGGCCACTTAAGGTCACACCTATGTAGCATACATCCACCAAGTTTCAAGTCTTCACTACGAATACTTTTAGTACAGTGTGTGTTTTACTGACACTCCACAATGTGCTCCAGGTGAGCGCCACGGCGCTGCAGGGCGTAGGCACACTTGCATCCGGCGGGCAAAGTTGTCGATAATCCGATGGCTGTGCACTTTACAGAGTGCAATGACCTCTGGAGACAGTGCTCAGGGGGTGTGCTACCCCTGAAACGTTATTCTTATCGGGTTATCGGCAACTTTGCCCGCCGGATGCAGGTGTGCCTACGCCCTGCAGTGCCGGGGCGCTCACCTGGAGCACATTGTGGAGCGTCCGTAAAACACACACTGTACTAAAAGTATTCGTAGTGAAGACTTGAAACTTGGTGGATGTCTGCTACATAGGTGTGACCTAAAGGGGCCGAAGTTTGGTGATGATCTGAATAAAACTTCCGAAGTTATTCGAATTTTGGTGATGACCGCTTTTTTTGTGTCACCCTGTAGCTAGCGTGTCTATTGCATGTGCCATTTCGAAGCTAGCCTTATTGACTATATCGGAAGATAAAAAGAAAAAATGCAATTATTTTAATCTCATCTTATGCGCTGATTAACAGCGTTCGGTCAATTCTGGGACACCCTGTACGTCCTGTAAGTTTCAGCTTCCTGTGAAAGTTCATCTGGCCTTGAGGGTGGTGCAAAGTTGCGACCTCTGAGGACCGTACAGAGGTTCACTTATGACGTCATAAGTAAGTGACCTGACCTGACCCGAAAATGCGGTTGGTGTCACAAGATCCGGTTTGAATCAAAGGTCAGGTATGCCAAGTTTCTCTATCACCGACGTGCTCCGAGCTATCGCGAAAAAAACCTTATAATAGGAGGCACCCGCCCCCACCCTCGGCCGGCGAGGGTTAAATATTAATTGAATTTTCCTCGATGCCACATGATAAATAGGAAATTCTTACAGAAAAAATGCGAAACATTTATAACTTATACAAGTTCCACGGTCAGAAGTCAATATTTGCAATGTTTCTTCACTCTCTTTCGCATTGACCCACAAGATATATTTTTTTTTAATCGAAGCACACGAAACATTTTTGCGAACAACGCGTCTTCTTTACCAGGCGTTTGTCAACTATCTCGCACTGCTTTTAAAAAATAAGTCGTCCCGGGCAAAGGCCACATGACTTCCTCGCGTGGTTCCCGTGTTCTTTCACAGCGAAAAGAGCACCGTTTCTACGTTTAAACTGAGGTCGAGGAGCATTCGAAGGCAGACGTTTTATCCGTCATTTAACAAATGCCCTCCCCCTCCCCCCCCCCTCCCCGGGAGGGATCGAAACGACCCACTTCCTGTAGTTTTTCGACTCGACGCAAAAGCGTCGTGTGCAGCACAGCCACATTTCATTGGTAACGCAAGAAGTTAACCCTCGCCCGCACATGCCATTTCCCATCCTAGAACGCACATGGGGGAGGGGGTTGCCACCCCCCGAAACACCGGGCCCCCATTCCGTTCCTGCTGGAGATAGAGCTTCGCGACAAAGCCCAACAGTTTCTTTTGGAAGAGAGGAATCCAATGGAACCCAATTTTACCTCATTAGGTTTATCACTGACCTTCTAGGTCAGGTCAAACTAAAAAAAATGTTGCTGTTTGGGGCCACCGTTGGAATATTACGCGCGGTGCCCACTGCCCATCATATACCGATGACGCTGCCATTTGTGGTGCCAAGCCAGCTAGAACAGCTCTTTGTCACACCATCCGACTAGGTTTTTACTGGCTGTGGTCATTTCAGGTCAAGCTAGGTCAAGGTCAATGATATGTGTTTGTATGTCTGTGTGCGTCTGTGTGTATGCTGATGTGAGCACCGATTGGTTTGTGTCCCTATTACATGAGATCATGATCTGAGAAGCTTTTACCAAAAATGCAGGCAAAAACTTCAGTAAAAGCAAATTCAGCAAACTTAAAATACAATGTTTTTCGATGACCTAGGTTGACCTTGCCCCTGACCCTGACATCTGCACATCGTCGAATAACATGTTCCATGATAGGCGGAAGGTAAAACTAGCAAAACCAAGCCAAAATCAAGGTGTCAAAAGCTCACAAGACCCATAGCCAACGCAAGATATTGAGTATTGGTCATTCAGGTCATGACATTACCTGAAAGGCAAGGTCATATCTCCGAAACCAAAAACCACAGAAGCTTGAAATTTTCAGTGGACGCCGATAAAGGACAGAGAAGTAGCTATACGAAAAATAAGGCTTCTAGCTTTAAAATGTTAAGTGCAGAGCAGAACAACTACCTGGGGGGGGGGGTTCCCCATGTGCGGGCGAGGGTTAAAAGGGATTAGTTGTGTTCCTACTGGTAGGGGCTACGTAAGCTGAGATGTGTCAAAAACAAGTTTCACTGTAAATGTGTTTTGCTTTTTGAGTGAAAATATATGCTGAACAACCTCAAGTTGAATCACATTCACATTGCGTTTGTTTCATGTATGCCTGATTCTTTATATCTTAACATAATTTTAGTACATGCCTGACTAGAATCCCAAGAGCATAGCGAAATACAATAATTATGAGAACACGGAACAAAAATGATAACATACGCGTTTCGGCTAAATCGCCGTCATCAGCGTCTAAAAGGAGAACAAGAGGCACACATCGGGGCCGATGTGTGCCTCTTGTTCTCCTTTTAGACGCTGATGACGGCGATTTAGCCGAAACGCGTATGTCTATCATTTTTGTTCCGTGTTATTATACTTGTCTCAACTGAAATGCAATAATTATGAGGTAGGTACTTACTCATCTGGGTAGTCAGCCCACTTCACATGATACTCCAATCCATCTCCAATCCGGTGCCCCAGGATGCGTTCAACAATATATACCTGGAAGAACATATGACTCAAGAGTTGCAGGGCTGACAATGCTCAAAGTTGGTATGCTGATAGGGACCAGCTCGATGGGTGACCCGCAAGTCAGTAGGGGGTCTCACTTTGCATATGAACACATGCAGGGCTCACTTGCGCTCGCTCGTTTGTCGACAAAAAGACATTTTACTTCTTTCTTTGGTGATAAGCTATTGGCACAAAAATGCTAGTTGACCTCGTATTACCGTAAGCGACCTCATCCAACTGAGCTAAGCCAAGTAGACATTAAGCAAAATATTGCCTAATTTCTATAAACTGTGCCCCCCAGACCCTAGGAGTAAAGCAATGAAAGATTGAACTTTAGGTGCACAACCTTTCATGAAATAGCAAAGAATACATTTGATTTAAAAATATTAAAAAATTTCCAATGGAAGGTAAACTGTGACTTTTAATTGACCTGAGATACAGTCAAGTTGTTTAAATAAAAGGGCATATGTGTTAAGCAGTACATAGCAGTACCAATCAAATACCAGGACTTACTTGCTCTATCTTCCGTTTTCTTCCTCTTGGTCGCATCTTGGGTACTCACAACTCCTAAGGGATGTGGAATCAATAGGTCAGTACAGACCCCAACTGATGCTCACAGGTCACAGTAATACTGTATTTTTTATGTTGTGTCCAAAAATGTCCATTTTGGACAATTTTGCTTGGAAGCTCACAAAAACCCACAACATTCAACATTTCATCATTAAATGATGCCTAGCTCATTATTTCACTTATACAATGGCAGACCTAGAAAAGCAGTAGGTATTGGATGCTGCAGGGAGCATAGTACCTAATGGGTGACCTGACTTCCCAAAACTCCTTGGATTTTACTTCTATATGAGCTGTTGAACAATGCATAACAAGCTATGCTGGATGCTTTATGCTAAATCCTTTTGAAGCCAATGACAATTTATAGTGGAGGATACAAGCATCACTCTGAAACCCTTCAGCTGGCTTAGAACAAAACAGATGTACCATCAAACTAACTTTAATTTTCAAGCATTAAAAATTAATTAGAATAAAAAGGACAGAGAAATCAAGTAAAATAAAATCACTGAATGTATCAGTATTAACAGCCAAGACCATGTACTCTTGGAAAGTGGCGCTTCCAATGTCATTTTTTTTTTCTGAGCAGCGTAAGATTGACAGCGTAAGAGGCATTTTCTTTTTGGCTTCAATTACACTAATTGCCTAAAGGGGTAAGTTCACCTTAAAAAATGCAGTGGATGATTCCAAAACACTAAGCACTTCAAAATAGATGATAATACCTAAATACGTTGCCACATGCCATTAATTTGCAGAATTTTGATCAAAATAATGAAAAGCTACATTCAAAATAATGACATAATTTATGGTAGTAACTTCATATACCAGACAAAACCACCTTGTGTGAATGTAGCAAACTACAAATCACTACAGTTAGGGTGAATTATGTGCTACAGAAATTCATTACACATTAGTTAATTGCTACTACTGTAGCTACAGTATTTGCTACAGTATTTTGCTGAAATAGTCGGCCAAGAGACTATCTGAATTGGGTCAAGTCAAGAGTGGGGTGCCCCAAGGTTCTATGATAGTATTCCTTCTATATGTGAACGAACTTCCAAAACTAGTTAAGAATGGTATCAAATTCTTTGCTGATGATACCAAAGTCTATTAGACCATCTAGGGGGATTAGGACACAAAGGCACTACAGGAAGACCTCGACATACTGTCCAGATGGTCTAAGGATTGGATGCATCAGTTCAATGTGGATAAATGCAAGGTGATGCATTGAGGTCAAACGAACCATAGGGCCAGCTACACCCTAATCCAGGATGGACTTGTACAGCAGTTGATGACAACATTAGTGGAGAGCAGCTTCAAACCTACATTGCATTGTCACCAGGTGGCCAACAAAGCAGCAGCAGCACTTCAAATGATGAAAAGGGCTTTCTCAATTTTGACAGTAACAGCTTCAAGGTGTTATACACAACATATGTGCAGCCTCACCTAGAATTTTATTTAGATAGATAGATATCTAGAATACTGTATGCAAGCAGTTGTTCCCTACATGGCTCAGGACTTCAAAGAACTCAAGATCCAGCACAGAGCAACCAAATTAGTACAAGGTCTGAAGAATTTGCCCTACGAGCAGGGACTAGAGCAGCTGAAGATATATGACATCAAAAGGGGCTACAAAGAGGTTATCTGATACTGGTTTTCAAAACCATGACAGGGATGACAAGACTCAATTTAAACAAGTTCTTTGAAGAAAACACAGATGAACAAACAAGAGCACATATCAACTCAAAGCAAATAGAGCCAGACACAAACTGAGAAGTGAGAGCAATGACCTCAGGACGCAGTGTACAGTACTGGAACTCCATACCGCAAGGTGTGATGGAAGCTAAATCTGTTGACAGAACTGGCTAGACCAGCACTGGGCCACACCCATTCCTGAGTAATTGTCTTTAACCACGGCCAATGCCCTAGGGCCAACATGGACGTCAGATAGACCAACGTCTTATCATCCTAGTCCACTAAACCTATACCTTAACCTATACGGAGGTAATGGAATTGCTGTAGTAACTTAAGTGCTACAAACAGAGATAATTTTGCTATAGAAGTGCAATGAAAAGGAACAAGAAAGTATTATAACCCAATAATTAATTGTAACTCACGTTATACCTGGGAAAAAGGCAAATGCGACGCACTGGACTTTCCACACATGGAAGAAATTACAGTACATCACAAAGCATGAAACAAAACAACATTCTATCTAATTTCCTTTTTTCAATAAAATACGGTTAAAATCCCAGAATACCAAATATGCTCACCTGGGCTGGAATACGCGCCAACGCGAACGCGGAACCACCCACACCACGTGGTTTTTCTGCGACGCACATGCGACGTTAGCAGGGAATTATCATTTCGGCCGTAGCCACTATAACTGTAACGTGTTCGTTTTTCGTGACGTCATTGTATGAATTGTGCATTTTTTCTGACAAAATTTTTGAATAAATATATTGTTTTGATATATTTCGTAAGAATCGGGATAATTTCGATGTAAAAATATAATTCAATGTCGTTAACTATTTGAAAAGTGTTTCTTTTTACTCTCGAAAGTCAAACCATGACGTCAGCAATCCTTCCTGACGCCATCTCGCATTTAGCGCCTTGATCATTTCTAGAAAGCTTTTTGGGCCAAGGCCATCTATGGCGGCGCGGCGCGCTAGCGTTTTGCGATGACGTCATAGCTTAGCGTCAGAGTGAAGTTTGTTGATATTGCCATGGAAACCCAACGCGCCGACGCGCGCAGCGCACTGCAGCGATCTGCTGTGAAACACCGCCCTGGAGTCAAGGTCACTGGAGTAATTGGGAGACATTTTCACTGAAGTTCTTCTACGTCATTAACGCCATTGGTTTCACACTCGAACGCCGTCGCTGTCAACAGCCAGTCAGGGATGCGGAGCCGGAGCCGGAGCCGGAGCCGGAGCCGCCGGAGCCGGAGCCGCCGGAGCCGGAGCCGGAGCTGTGAAACAATATAGCCCGGAGCCGGAGCCGGAGTCGGAGCCGCCAAAAAGGGGGGCGACTCCGGCTCCTTTTTGAAGAGGAAAACAATTATTGACCTAGTTCGGTTTGACAGTACAAGGCGTAAAACAATGTGGTATTCAAAATAGCCTTGTTATACAAATACAGAAGCAACGTGTACCAATCCCATCGCCTTTTTTCTTCCACCCGTATTTAATTGATCGCATGGGGGATGTACTGAGAAGAAGCCGGAGCCGGAGCCGCCGGAGCCGGAGCCGCCGGAGCCGGGTCATTTTACTCGGAGCCGGAGCCGGAGCCGGAGCCGCCATGACATTTCACCCGGAGCCGGAGCCGGAGCCGGAGCCGATTTTTTTCTCCGGAGCCGGAGCCGGAGCCGTCTGAAATTTCCACGGCTCCGCATCCCTGGCCACAGTATCTATAATAGGGCAAAGTTTCCCGAGTATTTCATGATAGTAACTACAGAATGCAGATGGACCAGAGACATGCGATCAGCAGCTCATGACTATGACATTCGGTTGAAATAAATCAACCACCAATGACGTCATAGCCTACGATTAGGCAGCCCAATTCAAAGAAGATATGGAGCCGTAGATTTGTGGACGGCTCCGGCTCCGGTTGAGTACCTAGGTTCTTATTGAGCTTCGGACGCCACAAGCCATTTGCTACTTCTTCCCCACTTTCTTACCCCCCCCCCCCTTCCTCCCTGATTCCGCCACTGGCTGTTTCTGTCGCCTGCCGGCGCAGATGGAATGGGTGCGCTCGGACGGCTCAGTCGACTGTTGTTGTAAAGCGCAATTTGTTAAAATATGTGCAATTCTAACGCCGAATTAATTCGAAAAAGTGTCGAATGCCAAATCGTCTCCTGACTACAATGCTTGATGGATTGGCAATATCGTTGGTACCGAAGCATTATGAAACATTTATCTCGCTTTATTGAAGAGAGCAGGTTAAACTGAGCACGTTTATTGTCTTTAATTGCGTAAAACTCTCGGTTCGATATAAGCGCACTCTGTCTATTGAAAGCGCACCTCTAGGTCACGTGACTGGGGTGTGTCACGTGATTGCGCTTAAAACCGAAATCGGCGTCATAGGAGGCGTAGGAACAGGGGGGGGGGGGCGGGGGGGGCATGGCCCCCCCACTTTCGGAGGTGGGGGGGGGGGGCAGCAATGTTAACTGCCCCCCCCCCACTGTTTGCTGACTTAAGTGTCTATCTGTACCTACCACCCGCCCACCCGGTACCCTAAACACCAGAACTTGACAACTATTCAGCTTGCCCTTTAGTGAAGATTCCCTTTTGTTTCTACAGCGTTATTGACCGCAATTTCCTTCACTCAATGAAGAAAACCATATCAGAGACAAGACTGTGAGTCCTGGTGCCGCAGCGTTTTGTTGATTACGATATACGGGACAGCGAGCACTGAAAAGGTATAAAGACAATACTAGCACGGTGCAGGAGAATGCGTATACAAACGACCAACGCTTGACCAGATCTGCTTCGTGGGGTCGGCATAGTTCGTCAAAGGCGTACTAGCTGGGGGCCAGGGTGACCGTGCCCCCGCCTCGGTTCAAACAGGCTGGGGGCTAGCAATGTCTGTATCTGCCCCTCTATATGCCCCCCCCCCCAAACAAACAATGGGCCCCCATGGGCGTATGGGGCTCTGGCACTTATTCGATTGTCACGAGGCTCAAGAATCCCACGCCAGCTATTAACAGCTTCCAAACCAGTCTTTGAGGGTCCTACACTGATCTCGGAGGGCCCTTCAATGGCGGTCAAGCGCCCACATTGACCTCTGAGAACCCACATTGACCTCTGAGGGTCCTCCACTGGCATTTGAGGGCCCCTAAACCGGCCTCAAGGGCCCAGCCGACGTCTGAGGGCCTCACACCGGCCTCTGGTGGCCTCATTTCTGTCTCTGGGGTCTCAAGACTAGCCTTTAGGTGCCTCTGAGGGCCCCGCACTGAATTCTGGAGACCCGATGCCGGCCTCTAAGGGTCTGCATCGGCCTCTGAGGGTCCATCTTGGCCTTAGGGGTCCAACGCCGGCCCATGCCGGTCTGTTACGGTCCCACACTGACCTCTAAGGGCCCATGCTGGCCTGTAAGGACCCACATTAGCCTCTGAGGGCCTTGCACTGGATTATGAAGACCGATGCTGGCCTCAGAGGCCCATCTTGGTTTTTGAGGGCCTTCTGCTGGCCTCTGGGGTCCAACGCCGGCCCATGCCGGCATTTTAGGGTCCCACACTGACCTCTGAGGGCCCATGCTGGCCTGTAAGGACCCACATTAGCCTCTGATGGCCCAAGTCTCAAACTGCTCTTTGCAGGCCCTGTACTGGTCTCTGAGGGCCTTAACCCTCGCCGGCCGAGGGAGGGGTGCCGCCCCTCCATATAGTTTTTTTTTTCGCGATAGCTCCGAACACGCCGGCGATAGAGAGCTGAAGCTTGGCATACCTGACCTTTGAATCAAGCCGGATCTTTTGACACCAACCGCATTTTCGGGTCAGATCAGGTCACTGACCTATGAGGTCATAAGTGAACCTCTGCACGGTCTTCAGATGTCGCAACTTCGCAACGCCCTCACTGCCAGAGGAAATGTCACAGGAAAATAAGCCTTGCAGGACCTAGTATCCATTAGAAGTCTCACAACTTGTACATTTCGGAGTTTCTTAAGGTCATATGAGGTCAGGTCATTTTCGTGACCTCACCATTAGGTAAGTCAATGGTGATAAACTGAAAACTTTTTCTGGCGCCGGGAACGATCTCCAACTATCTCAAGCACACCGAATCGTGATTTCATGCACTCCTTGCAAGGTTCGATGCGTCACTTTTGCAATGTTGACCTTGCGCGACGTCATTTATGACGTTATAAGGGTCATATTAGTTTTTCGTCAATAACTACCGATCAAATTGAGCTAGCGAGTCGGGAAAGCCACCAATGGACTCAGGAAGACCTTCCGAATCGAAGGATATGAGACATGACCTCATTCGACCAATTTCGTGACCTGGGGGCGCTGACCTGACCGTGACCCGAGGTCAACGCTCTAAGTTTACCTCACCCAAACAAAAAGTATATCATTCGACGCGCCTGAGAGAGGCTAACACGATGCTGGCAAAATCGCGGCTCTGTGGCTGTTTTTTGCGAAGTTATTCACCAAAAATGGAATTGTGCCTTGAGGCACTTGACTTGACCTCAGGTCAACGGTTGACCTAGGACCTTAAAATCGGGTATCGATCTCTGCGTCTCGTAACGGCGCACACGCTCGTTTTTTCCGCGACGCGCTAGCTCCACCTGGGGCAAAACGGCGAGGGGGGTCGTACCTGCTCCCCGCCCCCTCGGCCGGCGCGTATGTAGAAAACTTATAGGTCCGGGCCTGCGAGTGTTAAACGGCCTCTGAGGGCCCAGACCGGCCTCTAAAAGTCCCACACCGGCCTCTGACAGTCAATCAGCCCAGTTGCAGTGGTCGCTAATATAAAACCTCTTAAAAACGTTACAAGCCTGGCTGAGCCTAGCTGGGCCGTTCATGCTGATTTTTATAGGTATATTGAAAAGACTCGCTTTGCACATTTCACGCTTGCCCTTAATGAAAAAGCTGCTGGATGCCTCTGGAATTTGCATGGGTGCCAAAGGCTGCGGAGGACAGGGGAACGCGTCAATCAGTTTGAGTTTATGGACGGGACTCTCCCTGAAATTTAACTACTTTTATTTTTGGTTTTGTCTCGATTTTTTTTACCTCTGAGCATGTTTGCGAAAACAAAGTGGCCGAAATCCGAGGAGAAATTGGATTTTGGGGGTGGGTTAGGTTTTAGACCTCTGGGAGCCTGCCCCCCCCCCCCACTTTCGAAGACGTTCCTACGCCTATGGTTAGAACCGAAAAGGATCAGATGTATTTCATTGAAAAAAGACGTAGAACAGAACTGATTACCGGATGCTGGATACTTTCGTCATCCGTAATAATTGCTGTTGTTTTGTTTATGTTCGCTGATGCCCTGCTGTCACTAAATATGTATGTAATATTGTTAGTGGTTCAAATCGTTATTCAACTCAATGTGAATTCCATCATCAGCACCATACCGATTGTTCTACGTTATATCTTGTAAGCATCTTGCAAACATGAACATTGAACGGAGTGGAATAAAAATAATCAATATGATCACTTATTTTGCAATTTTCAAAGCTCGGGCATCCAGCTTCCTGTTACGCGCGAGAAGAACCATCGCTGTCTTCTGACTGGTTGACAAAGTGGGTATACATATGCACAATTATTGTACACATGTACTATGTACAATGTCGGTAGGAGGGTGTGAATAGCGTCGTGTCTGTGTGGCAGCCGGACGGCGTCACT